AATAGAGAATCGCAGTTTCATCTATGCTTACAAATGGGGAAAAAAGATTTAAAGGAACTGTAATTCATCTCTTCAACTAATATTAGAACATGACAATATCTATGCCTAATCTCACAAGGAATACCATTACTAAGCACGCATGAATATAGATATGCAATTTTCTTTTTTACATTTCTGTCATAATAAAAGTCTTAAATTTCATTAATAATGGTCCTGGAAGTCTTAACTTTTAATTAATGGTAGTCTTAAAAAGTCATAAATGTAATTAATAATGGTATTAAAAAGTCACAAATTTCATTAAAAGTGGTCTTTAAAAGTCTTAAATTAATGGTCTTAGAAACGCTTGAATTTCATTAATGGTTGTCTTTAAAATTCTTAAATTTAATTATGTTCTTAAAAGTCTTAAATTTAATCAATAATGGTCCTGCAATTCTTAAATTTAAAAATATGGTGGTCTTCAAAAGTCTTAAATCTAATTAATAACGGTCCTGCAATTCTTACATGTAATTAATGGTGGTCTTTAAAAGTCTTAAATTTAATTAATAATGGTATAAGAAAGTCTTGAATTTCAGTTGGTGAAACCTGCTGAAACCCTGAATGAAGACAATATAATACGCAATGTAAGACGAAACCATTTTCTAGAGCATGTTGAGACGTAGCTGCGGTTCATTCAGGCTGCAAGAAGGTGAGAGAGAGTGAGACTTTTACCATGTAACAGAAAGGTTAAATATATTCCAGGAAAGTTTCTCTGTTTTATCCTTTCTAGTCCTATCTTGCATGAAGTTATGCTAGATTTGCAAATGTTAGCAGCCTTTTGAAGATCTCTAAATTAGTTAATGAATTGTCATTTTTGTAACACTTGCTGCACGCAACATGCTGATAGAATAAAATTTAGCAGCATCTGTTTTTTCACACATTGCCTCTGCTTAATGCTTGGAAAAATATTTTAGAAGTGGTTTGAAACCTTCTTATTTTAAAGCAAACAGAAGTTGGAATCAGACAAAATTGGAGAGCTTTACAAAAAAAAAAACTCAGCTTGGAGATCTGCCAAAAAAATAGAAAAAAGCCCTCTTAGCTGTGCATCTCTGGTGAAATCACTTTTCTTCTGTTATCAGATTACAGGCTTCAGTTGTCACATGACACATTTATTTGCACCATGTGATGCGGTTAAAAAGCTAAAGATAATAGAAAAGTCCAAAGCCGTTGTACTGAGGGGAATTTATTTACTTATTTATTTATTTGTGCTTGTGTGCAGTGAAACCCGTTGTGCCGCGGTGCAGCGTGCCGGAGTCGGTCACCGTGGGGACGTCGACGGAGCTGCGATGTTTGGAGAACGAGGGCTTCCCGGCCTCACAGTACCGCTGGTTCCACAACAACGAGGAGCTTCCTCAAGATCCAAAAACCAGCCAGAGATTCGTCAACTTCTCCTACGTTATCAACCCGGACACTGGAAGCTTGGTAAAAAGACACAAAGGGATTGTAAAATTCCACTATTCCTTCAGTAATTTCATGTGGACAGTAAAAAGAAAAAAAACCCTCACTATTTGTTGAATTATTTTAGTTCTACAGCAGCTGAAACGAGTTTTTTTTTTTATCTATTTCAGTGGAAATCTTTAGTCTTAAACGTAGTATGTTCCAGCTTATGTAAGATAAACAGCTTAATCTGAATAAAACCTTAACCACTGAATGACTAATTGCATGATTAATCTCTCTGTGCAAAGATATCCTCTGAGAAAGCTTAACTGTCATATGAAAGGAGGAGAATTGTGCATTCAATCTGCCATGTTTCTAATTTACTAAAATAAAATAAAACAAACCCATCTCTGAACAAATTGTGCTGCCAATTAGACATAATTAAATTTCAGAGAAAAGCTTGTTGTATTTATATTTATGAAGTGCAGTTGGTAACACTTTATTTGACGAGTGGTGAATAAGACTGTCATGACATAAACATGTCATAAACATGTGTACGTCTTCATGAATATTTATGACTGTTGCCATATGCAGATTGTAATGTCATGCAGAGGACCCCATATCTCAGTTGTCCTATGTACACACGAAAACACAACTACAGTTTCCTGGAATGTCTACTTTGGTCATTAGTAGTTTTTACTGTTATCAAACTGAGTTTTTGGGTGGATGAACAGCCAAAACGCACAAAACGATCCAAAAAGAAATAGCATCATAAATCAATTATTAACTTGAGTTCCACAGAGTTTGCTTTGGGAAAACATTTAGTTTTATTTGTGCTGTGGCCTCGTGTCTGCTGTCGTGCTGGTAGCACAAGATCATATTTAGGCAACTACCTTCTTCACATTATTGCTTTTTGCTTTGTGGAGGAGATACTGAGCTGGTTTTCAAAATGATCTCCACAGAAATTTCGACGTGTGAGGAAAGAGGACGCAGGCGAGTACTACTGCCAGGCGAAGAATGACGCTGGAAACGCTCAGTGTTCTCCAAAAGTAATGGATGTCTGTGAGTGATTCCCATCAGTTCAGTTTATTCACATAGTGCCGGTTCACAACACATCATCTCAAGGCACTGCACAAACATTCAAATTGGTCCCAGTTATGAAGAAATCCAGGGAAGTTTGGTTGATTATGGAAATTGGTTTTAAAAGTGTTTCATCTGAGGAAACCCAGATAACTGCATCAAGTCAGCAACTTGCAGCGCTCTCTGATGGGTTGTTTCTGACTCAGCAGAGTATTTCTGCATGTAGCTGTGCGGCCTGTAAAATCTTAGCTATGGTTTATTCAATTTTTGGTGAGAAGTGGACATTTTGGAGTTTCCCATTTTAGTCGCTATCTGATTTTGCTCCGTGTCTCGTTGCAGGTGACGTTGACGTCCTTGGAATTTTCCTCCAGTCTTGCGGCGGACTGATGGCAGTTGTCACTTTGATTTTTGTGATTTATTTAATGAAACGTTTGTGCTGTTACAAAAGTGTTTACAATGGAAACAAGTGAGTACACCGTGCAGCTCTGAGGATATAGTAAAATCCACCGAAGGTGTCGCGTTTTCATCTTGTTCTCTGTTTTTTCTCTCATAGTTACAATACTCCTGCACAGGCTCCTGCTATTGACTATGCCGATGCAGATGAGGTAGACAAAGTTCAGAAATGACAAACCGCATTAAATTGACTTGCAGTTATATGAATACAATGAATGATAGGGTGCGATTTACTGATGTTTTTCTTCTTTCTCTGTTCTTCACAGGGTCATTTTCGGCACAAGTCTTCATTCATCATTTGACAACAATCACAGGGACAATCACAGCAGAAATAAACACTTTTAAGGTTACCAAGCAACAATGATGCGCAAGCTAACAAAGTTTAAGATGTAACATGGCACATTTACTCTCGGATGCACATTAACTCAACTGACTTGCCAAAGTATTCATTCAATTTATGGCACCAAATATTTTTACACCTCAGATTTTGCTGTTTTTCCTGTTATGTTTTTTTTCTTCTTCTTATTGTTGTTGTCAAACCACTCGTTTCATGTTCAAGTTCATTTTCCAACATTTTTGTATTGTACAATGAAAGCATTTCAAAGCTGTGAAATTTGATATTTGGCCCCTCAGTGTTATCACAAGTTACTGTAAGCTACATCCCCCCTCCCTCCTCTCTCTCCATTTTTTTCAAATGATCCTTTTTTTTATATGATGTTTCAAGTTTTTTACTGCGCAAGCTTGTTTATGAAAACTCTTTTACATTAGATCAAAAGCTGTCCTTAATTGTTTCACCTACGAATCGTTTCCCTTACGAACGAACGTTGTATATACTGTAGATACGCAGGCTTAAAATAGCGGACTGCTAAAGGCTGATCCAGATCCAACTCATAAGGCACACTGTATCAGCCCCTTTTTTTTTTTTTTTTTTAAACATGTTCACAAATGTTAACAAGTACAGAAATATACGATACATTTGAAAACTGTATGCCACACTATGCTGCAAAGTCTATATGTACCATAAAGGTGTTAAAGTTGGGATTTTTGGAGTGCTGTTTCTGTGTATAAGTGACCTTTTTGTGTTTTACAAGTTTTTGATGTTTTTTTTTGTTGTTGATGTGAGTTTTGGACATATTGTCCAGTTGTGGCTCAGCATAATATGTAGGTATACGCATACTCTTTTTGACCTTTTGATTTGTTACATTGCACTCCATAACTTATTGTGTATATTGAAATAACCCTGTTTGTTGGAAATAAATTCCACTGTATTTACTAAGTGTGTTTCGCAGTGTTTTGCGTCTTGTCGGTAACAACAGCTATGTCTACGCAGGCGTGTGCAAATGTTTTTGTGTGACAACTCAGGAACTGTTATGAAACGTTTGCTGTTCATTTGATATCAACGTTGTTATTTTGTTACTATTAAATACGTTTCGACTGCACAAGTAAACAGGTGTCGTTTGGTGAATGATTCATTGGATCTGGCAGAGAACATAAGTTTGGTGGAAGCGTTTGCTCCAGAGAGGAAAGCTATTGTTCCAATTATTTATGGGGGGAAGGATTTTTTTTTTTTTAGGAACCAAACTTTCAGCTGATAAAAACACTCCTTTTCTGCTTTTTTTTGCAAACACAAATGTATTTGCGCTTAAGTAAGCTTTTATGTGATAAAACAAGATAATCAGAAAAAAAAAAACAGGAAAGGTGACATTGTTGACATAAATAAGCTACATCATTAAACAAATAAAACAGAGCCCAAGGATGTTTTCTTTTTGTTTTTTTACATGAGATAGCACTGCATATTAAAAAGTTTTAAAATATCTGCAAAATGATGATATTGAAAACTTCTGTCGCTCACAAATTAGCAAGTCGCTGAATAGTCACTTAATTTCTAGCATCAATGACGATCAATGATTTTACAACTAATGAAAAACCGGGATACAGTTCATTAGAGACTGAAAATAGTGCGCTTTCTAACATCACTACAGCTTGTGGCGTTTGAGGTTTAAAGGTCTCCCGCCGCGTTCGCTTCTTTCCGGCTTTATTTTGAAAACCTCCACCCGGAAGTAGTCGACGCAACGCAAGTAGCATGAGCTAACGTTGCATCTCACTCGTTTGACAACAGCCTCTGTCTTATCTGTCAGACCACAAACATGTAAGAGTCAATTACGCTGCGATAGCCGAGTCCACCGCAGACTGTTTGTTGAAGGCAGTTAAATGGTTGAAGAGAGTCCGACGCAGAAGAGAAAAAACGGAAACGGCTAATTTGCTAGCACACATATTCATGTGCGTCCTGGTTTTACCGTCGTATTGCTAGTTTTTGCCGTCAGTATGGACCTGTAGCCAAAGCAGACTTCTTTTTTTTTTTCTTTTTGTACAACATTTCTCCGCTTCTTCACGACTAAGTGCTTTCTTCGGGCTCAAAAGGGGGAGGAGAGCTCGTACACCCTACAGGCCTACATGTGTGTTTGTTTTCTGCTTCGTTGGGGGAAAAAAAACGGGGTCCTGTTCGGTTCAGCCTGCTAACGAGTCCCTGCGCCGCGGTAACAACCGCGTTAATTAATGAGATAAAAAGTCGGCGCATCCCGGTCGTTATAATGAGTTTCTTTAGTTTCGGACAAAGTGCAGAGATCGATGTAGTCCTCAATGACGCCGAAACGAGAAAGAAGGTTGAGCACAAGACCGAAGATGGGAAGAAAGAGAAATACTTTCTTTTCTACGACGGGGAGACGGTCAGTGGGAAGGTGAACGTGACGCTGAAGAACCCCGGGAAGAGGCTGGAGCATCACGGCATCAAAATTGAATTTGTCGGCCAAATAGGTGGGTGGGGAAGTTATTAGTCATGTCATGCAACAAATGAGCACAAACATTATTCCTCATGAAGCACTGGGAATACTTCATAAGAATATTTGTGAAATGCAACGATTTGTGGTCTTGGAGAGCTTGTTTGTTTGTTTATCTTTTTACACTAGAAAAGCTTAGCCAGTGTCAACTTTTGGGAGTTTCTTTTTTCCAGATTTTTCTACACATTACAATCCCAAGCTTCAATTCATTGTATTCTGGTTTTATTTGATACACCAGCTTTGTGTGCATCTGTGAGCTTTCCAAATCAACCCAGTGAAATATTGTTGAATTCTTTCACAACAGCATTGTTCAAGCTCTGACAGATTAGTCGGACAGCATGTGCGTGTATCAAATTTAAAGTTTCAAGATGGCAGATTATAATCTGGATTTAGGTGTTGGTCGTTCTAACGCAGAGTAACGATTCTAAACCACTTAATTGCAGCCCTGGTTGTATATTTGGGATCACTGGTTAACCTCCTCTCTAGTCTCGCATCTTTGGCAGCCTCTAACCAATTTTTTTAAATATATTTTTTCTTGGGGTTGCCTTGCAGTTAACTCCGTCTATTGTCTCTCTGACCAGCTCCACTGAAGAAAAGCATCTCCACAACACAGCGCTGTCACCACTTCATTGCATAGTTTATATTTAGCGTGATGTGCTGGGTTAGTTAAAAAGTTCAATTTTGGTCTCAGCAGAACCAGAGCACCTACTGCATTGTTACCTGTAAACTTAAACAGGGCTTCTTACCTGGAGCCAGTCCAAGGACTTCAAAACTGGATTTATGTTCTCTATCTTACTGGTTTTGGTGACATGAGTCCATTAATCCTGGACAGAGGGTATAGAAGGCTGACTTTGTAACTATCTTTATGTGACTCTGAAGGTTCAGATCTGAGTCACTGTTCTCCTTCCCCTGTTCTTCAGTTAAGGTGGGTGGTCATGTGTTGACAGGTATTTGCAGTTGTCCCACTCTCTGTAAATGTGCAGATATTTGATTGAACAGTTCTTCACAAGATGAAATGTTGCTTTGCTGCCAAAATCTTTGGCCATCATGATGCTGCTTGCTCTCTCGTGTTCTTCATCAAACAAATAAGGACTAAACAGAACAGCCAGATTTATACTGAGACCACATTACACATAGATAAACACTATTTACAAATTAGGCACTTCTGAAGGCAATTAGTGCATTTAATTTAGTGTCTCCTAAAGTGCAAATCAAACTCAGATTTTCATGTGTAACAATTTTACAGCACTACTATTTTCATAAAATGTATAGACGTTTGTGGTTGCAATCTGGAAAAGTCTTGGTGCAGTGGTGTCCAAATAGTTTGTCTTGGGAGTCAAAACAAGAAGTTAAACTTGCTGTGGGTCATACAATTCATTCAATTAAAAATGCAAAGATTTTTTTTTTGTAACTCTTCACCTGCTCAACAATAAATCAGTTTGTGAAATAAAGTCTGTATATCATTGAGAATCCAAAATGTAAAAGTACTGCTGGGCTGTTGCCTTATTAAAAGAAAAAAACAGCCAATTTTCATATTTTTGGGATCATTGATTGCTTTTTATCTTATTGGCTACATTTTTACCCATTTTTGACTTGTGGTAAAGGGGGGTGAACAAAATAATGTCAAAGGTCACACATGGGCCCTGTGCCAAACTTTAGACAGCGCTGTCTTAGGGGAATGACTACCTTTGAAATGGACTGTATAAACATAAAATATAACAAATGCATAAAAAAGCTGTTATTCTATTTTATTCTAAACGCTCCCAGTTGAACTGAAGAAAGGTTGCAGCCTAAATGTGAAACTGGAAAGTAGTACATGGAGGTGGGTAGTGATTATTTCTGGGGTTTGTCCTACAAATTGTGGTGCAAAACACCCGAATGGTGCTTCATCATGCTAACCAGTGATGCGAGTTACATCACAGTTGGGAGGCTTGTTCCAAATCTCCAGACGGAAATCAACAACAAAGTGTTCAATGCCTTCCAAACTGAAAGTATCTGAGGATCATCGCTGCAAGAAAACAGAAAGACCTGGGCTGATGTGACCCTCCTCATGCTATAGATAATAGATAACACTGCTGTAGTTGTATGACTATTTAGTTGCAAAATAACGTGTATTCTTTTAATATTTTCAGTGAAAGAGACAGGAATTTTTGTCTTTGTGTCGACAAACAGATAGTAATGTATCAAAAATACTTGGACATAATGTAATTAAAGCTTGGTTTAATTGTATTTAAGATTTGGGCATTTTATTATTATTATTATTTAATTCTTCACCCTCCAAAAAATCTTAACTTTAGCTTCAAATCCATTTCTCATATATTCTGTACAATATAAAGTCCCAAGTAGTTTCAGCTGAGTAATTATTACTTACTTGAATCTAAATACAAGTTTTGTTTACTGATAAAAAAAAAACTCACTGTATTCCAAAATGTTTACATTTTTTAAAATAAAGATTAAAGCTAGAATTGTCAGTTTCTTTAAACAAAGGAATTAACGATCAATTCAAACTTGTATATAATCATGTTCCACATTATCATTAAATAAAAAGCAGTTGAAAAAAGCAGGGTAACGTTCTGGCTTTCATAGACATATTTATATTTTTAATGTGATTTTGTGTGGATCGCCTTATGTTTTTATTTTTTTCGTTGTATTTTTAACATCACCCTTCTCTCCCGATGTTTGTCCAGAGCTATATTACGACAGAGGAAACCATCACGAATTTGTTTCCCTGGTGAAGGATCTTGCGAGACCCGGTGAAATAACCCAGTCGCAGACCTTCGACTTTGAGTTCACACATGTCGAGAAACCCTACGAGTCCTACACAGGCCAGAACGTCAAGCTAAGGTGTGTTTGATCATTCGCTCCACTGCTGTGCAGGTACAGAGAATGTAAGGGTTACATTTTAACCTGCTTGGCACGCAACCCTGAGTTCAACATTTAACTGACGATGTTGTCTTTATGCCACATTTATAGATTGGATGTAAAAATCTGTTTATGTTTTTAGGTATTTCCTTCGCGCCACGGTGATAAGAAGATTAAATGACATCAGTAAAGAGATGGACATTGTGGTCCACACACTGAGCACCTACCCTGAACTCAACTCCTCCATCAAGATGGAAGTTGGAATCGAAGACTGCCTCCATATTGAGTTTGAGTATAACAAATCTAAGTAAGACATATTGAGATTATAAACTACTGCACGGCCTATAACTAGCCATGGACAGTTATTATTTTGTTTAACATCTGCAACAAGCAAAGACAAGCTGATGTTTGTTCTAAAAAGAAATCTTTAGATATTATTTCTTATTGATCACAGGCCTATTAAAAAAAAGCATTTTGTAGCGTGACTTGATTATGGGGAAAAAATAAGCTAGAGTTGCTTTGGCTCTCAAACAGGAGAACCGCATTCCTTTTTCATTGCTGAATGTTGTTGAAAATCTTCATGTGAATAGGAAAATATGAGCCAACTAATCAACAAGGCATATCAAAACAGAGAGGACGCAAGCTAGCATTAGGTCTTGCTAGCCCCACCTTGTGTAAAGATCCTCAGCAGAGCAAGATGTGCTTGATTCGGAAGTCTTTTTCACTTTTGAAGCGATGGTTGAATATGAAACATAATGCTTTTAAGCGAGTTGCTGGTAGGAAGTTAATGCTGGTTTCTAACACCAGCTGTTTGAGGAACCAAGGGAAAAACTGTCAAAAGCAACAACAACAAAAATGATTGGAAATATTGTAGTGTAAGAGCAGAGTATACTTCTGATTTCAAAGTGTAAACGTAAAACATAAAAATTTGACCACAAAGCATATAATCAGTTGAAAACTTTTTTTCTCCCCCGTTTGTTAATCCTGATAGGTAAAAAAAACAAACAAACTGGGTTGTTCAGCTTAAAGGTTCTTTGACCAAAAATCAAACTAAAATAAGTTAAATTCATTACTGAAGTAAGTTTTTTCTCTTTCTTTTTTTTTTCTATCGTTTGTTTTGTGACAGATACCATCTGAAGGACGTGATTGTGGGCAAAATCTATTTCCTCCTGGTGAGGATTAAAATAAAACACATGGAGATCGACATCATCAAACGCGAGACGACCGGCACCGGCCCGAGCGTCTACCACGAAAACGACACGATCGCAAAGTACGAGATCATGGACGGAGCGCCGGTCAGAGGTGAGCGTCTTTCATTTAGCGTTAGATCTCTAACAAACAAAAAACAAAAATGTGATTAAATGCGATTCATCTTTCAGGTGAATCTATTCCTATCCGATTATTTCTGGCCGGTTATGATCTGACTCCGACCATGCGAGACATCAACAAGAAGTTCTCGGTGCGCTACTACCTGAATCTGGTATTGATCGATGAAGAGGAGAGACGCTACTTTAAACAACAGGTATGGGGGAAAAAAACCAAAATGATACATTTAAAGGCAAAATAAAAAAGGAAGCGCCAGATTACCAACACACTGAGCACACAGTAGTTTGCTTTTGGTGATGCGCACAAAGCATTTATTTCCCATTGAGCATAAAATAAAGAAACACTTGATCTTAACAATCGGACACAGATTGAATTCTAAAATTGATCTCGGCACAGTCCATTAACTTTTCAACTCGCGTCAACTAAAGCGAATCTTTCATTCACACGGATCGATATGAGCCGCTGGTTCGCCAAAGCGCTCGCGCGCCCCTGGTTAGGCTCCGCAGGCGCATCAACAACAGAGCCTGATGAAACCGTTTATGCTACATTGGAGGCTCACTAGTCGTTTTAAAAGGCGGACCTGCTGCAGGGATCAGGAGGGCGTGGTCGCCGTTTGGAATAAACATGCTCCATTCACGGCAAAAAAGTGTTTTTGGTCTAGTTTCTAGTGCAAATATCTCAATACAGTCAAACTAACTTTTAAGTAAGTTTGTAGCAAGATATAGGAGAGTGTCTTTTTTTCACATTTAGTGCATAAAATCATGGTTTGGAAACTAAAATTTTGAATGAAGATTTTCTTATTTTAAATGAGTTTTGAGTCGAAATGTTTTAGAACTTTGTGAAAAAGAGGAATTTCTATCGTCTTTTACACTTTTTCTGTAAACGAGATAATCTAGTCAGGCTCAATCCTCATTTTAATGTCAACCTTCATGGAAGAGAGTTAATTTCAGAGTCTTAGATTAGTAATTGACCCGATCATCTTAAATAATTGGGTCACATGTTTGGGGTGAAAGCAGATTTTGTTTTTAGTCAATAATTTCTTAAAATGTGTAAAAAAGCACTAGTTTCACCATGAGATTACTTCACTTATGACAAGGAAAAAATGTCTTAATAATCTACTGCTGGAACTAGAACTTTTTCATCTATATTAAGGAATTATTATTTGCATTGTAATAAGATATTTGCTCTACAAACTAGACCAAAAATGCTTGGTAAGATTTTGTTTTTGCAGTGCCGGAGTATAGAAAATTATTTTATTTCCATGTTTTTTCTCATACCATTGTGTAATTGTTTTAATAATCCATCAATTCTTCCACGCACTTCTTTCATCTTTTGACCCATCCCTCCATCCATCCATCCATCCATCCATCCATCCATCCATCCATCCATCCATCCATCCATCCATCCATCCATCCATCCATCCATCCATCCATCCATCCATCCATCCATCCATCCATCCATCCATCCATCCATCCATCCATCCATCCATCCATCCATCCATCATCCATCCATCCATCCATCCATCCATCCATCAGTCCATCAATCCATTCGTCTGGTAATCCCTAATCCCTTGTGTGGTGTGTTGATCTGTTTATCCATCCAGAGTTGTGTTCATGCTCCATTTGAAATCCCTGCTATTATTTATAGGTGAATCTTTAGATTGAAGCGGCGAGTCTGGACTATTGCAAAAGTAAAACGTACAGGAAAGGTGTTAGACCACAACACGTCAACACGGCACGGCTGCTGCGTGTTGCTGTCGCAGATCTGCGTTCTCTCTCTCTCTCTGTCTCTGTCTCTCTATCTCTCTCTCTCTGTTTCTCTCTCTCTCCTTTTCTCTCTGTCTGCGGCTTTTAGCAGACATTCCCGTGCCGTCTTTGCTGAGGAAGCTCCAGCTCTTTCTTAAGTCACGGCCGCTAGCGTTCTGATGCATAATGCATGAAACTGCATCACAATAAAGGTTAGCCATCTCTCTATGGGTCAGGGGAAAATTGTGGCTAGGAAAGTAAAGCAGGGATATTCCCAATGAAATCTCAGTTTTTGAACGTGGTTTTATGACAGTACTTTTTTGGTTGTTGATTTTTTTCTCAGCTCTCAAAAAATGCCATTTTGGCTGCTGACCGAGCAGCGATCGCTATTAATCTCTGTGCTTCTGATGCTATTTTAGATTCCATATGAAAACTAATCTCCTGGTGTGTTAAATGTTGCAGTCCATTTATGCAGCCCTTAGTCCAAAACATCGGTCTGCAACCTTTACCATACTAAGAGGCATTTCTGAACCCAATCCAGTGAATTTAAACCATTTTAGAGCCACAAATGTTACGTGGCATGACAAGGTTTTTTTACATAAATATCTACTACAGGAAGTCTGTTATTTAAAAAAAAAACAATATATTTAGGTTTGTAAAATAGAAAACTCTAAAAGATGATGGTAACATTTTTTTAGATGGGATGTTGCTGATATTTGCACATAATTTTATGCCTATTATTAATAGATAGATCTACATAAAAATGACAGGTACTTTTAGTGACAGTTGTGGAAACTTGTTGCAAACTACTGGTTCAGATTACGGGGTTTGGACCAAACAGATGTTGGACTTCTTTTGTCTAAAGTCTTATTTTTAGTTTTACCAAAAATATAACTGTGGCAGTTCATGTTTACCACTATGTTGCACTGTAACCAAATAAATTGTCAAGTACTTTCTATTCTTGGAACCCAGAGGGTTAGATATAATTATGTCAGATCTTAAAAAGATTAGCTCATAGTTTGACAAAACATATAGATCTGGAAGTTCTCTACATTCGGTCTGGAGTTAAATAAAAAACAAAAAACATGGGTTTTGTTGCAGAACTTTCTCTTTACTCAAGTAGACTTAATTAGATTTATTTGGAACAAAAATACAAAAAAAATGACACAAAATGAACAAAGCTGATTTGGAAAAGTGAGACAGAAATGTAACTTTTGTCTCATTAATTTTTGATTTAATGCTGTTAGGTTAAAATGAGTGCCAATCAATTATCTAATAACATCCCGCTTAAGCCTCCCTTTGGTGTGGTAGTTTGTCCTCCATCCAGAAGAGGGCGCCACTAATCATCATTAAGCTGAGCCAGTTGATACAGGAGTAAAGATGGCGGTGCCAGAATGGGAAAGAGAAACAGTCCAGAGTTCGTTATGGGTTGCAAAATGTTCTTTATACATTTTTAATTCTATATTTATAAAATATATACATATATATGACTTTTATTTATCTTAAAAGGTGTTAGTTAATGCCTTCCGTCAAGAGGAACCACAGACTGTATGAATATCTCTGTTCGTGAGGGATTAAGTGTTTCACATATTTTATTTTTTCATCTTTTATTTGTTTTTGTTTTTTTTTACTATTTCTGTTTATTTTTATTTTTAACACAATAGAAAATCATAGAAATGCAAAAGACACATTTTTGTACAACAATAAAATTAATATGCTCAAAAAGGAGTAGGTATAAATAAGAAACTTTTATTTTTTTATTCAGCATTGTATATTTATGAAATATTTCTATTTTCTATTTATTTAATACACATTATTGAATAAAGTGTAATGATGGGGGTTCTATTCAGCTTTATATGAACAACAGTCTGTACAGATTGTGAATAATCCACTGAAGTCTACTTTTTGCAGGAATGCAAAAAGACAAAAACAGCAACAACAAAAAAAGAGTCGCCTTGTGTTATCTCTACCCTAACAGGAAATCACACTGTGGAGAAAAGGAGACGTGGTGAGGAAAAGCATGTCCCATCAGGCCGCCATCGCCTCCCAGAGGTTCGAGGGCTCGGCCGCTTCAGAGAGCGCCCTGGAGCAGGCCGCCAAGGAGGAGAGCGGCTAGCTCCGCCCTCCTTCTGCTCGCCGGCAAATCTGCACCGGACGGATGATCACCTGACAACTGTGCAAACATCTGGCGAGGCAGCTGTTTCACTCGTGGCTGTGCTGGTAAAAGAAAAAAATTAAATAAAAAAAAGGAGGAAGGAGGGGAAAAAAAAACACAACAAGATGCACACTAATACCGTGCGTGAACTTTTGAAAAAAGGAAAAAATAACAAAAACGTTTGCATGAGGCGTTCAGGGTGGCTTCAGGCTCCTTCCTCACACATGCTTATTATTTTCTGTACAGGAATCAAACTAATCACCTGTCGCAGTGTCTGCTGTGTAAGATCACGTAAAACTCCTTACATTTTTACACTTTCTTCATTGCATTCTAATGCTTTTTGGATGTATTGATTTCCCTTTTTCTTTGTCAAATACCAGTTTTCTTCCAAGTGAATCTCTGACATTCCACGTTGAATGAATGAATTCCTATAAGGTCTAACAAGGAGGAAAAAAAAAAAAAGAATCGACTTTGCACTGCTTGATCTTGTTGAACACATTTTCCTTTTTTTTTGTTGTTGCACAAAACGCATCGGAAACTGGAACCTCTTGGTCCTGTTTGGGCGAGAGCTTTGAAGTATTATCCCACTTTTTTGTTTTTGTTTTTTTTTAAACGTGTAAATAAGACCAGTCAAACCTGTTAACCTGTTCCAGCTTGTATAGGTTGATTTAACCCGGACACAGAGCTACAGATTGACCTTGTCATGTCCATGTGCTTTTACCTCAGCATTCCAGTGGTGTTTTGGAGAAGTGTTTGTATTAGGGTCCGACCGTACAGAGTCAACTGTATCCTCCTCATTAGAGACTTGAAAGTTGTGCCTATGTGTATTAAGCTAATGAAAATCTTCCTGCCTCTAACATGATTTTAGTCTTTTAACAAGAGAAAAATTACAGTAGAACTATCTATCTTTTGCAAAATGCTTATCAATTACTCCTCATTCCCAAGCGTCCAATAAATTGATGCCAAATGGAAAACGCTTGTGTGTTTGTCCATAATTGAGTGGATTTATTAATGTGCCACAATTCTGAAAGCTTCAGACAACACAAACATTAGTTTCGGGTTGTAAAAATACCACTGATGGGCATCGCTTTCTGGTTTCCAACTGCATTCCACTAGTTTTACATTTCTACTACCACTTCTGTACCAGTTTAGACGCTTAACACTTTGCTAACTAGTGGATTGGTGTCCAGCTTATAGGCTTTGTGATGAATTATGCTCACTGCCTACTTACTAGTGACGCCCATTGACCTGCTTAAGTAGGGATCATCAAAAAAGGGAAATTGGTTTTAAGTGACTCTGAACTTGGTGTGGTTATTCATGGAAGACTGGATGGTCGCAGAGTTTCAAAAATTGTAATTCTGCTGTGATTGTCACTCGCCTTTCAAGGAGAAAGGAAGTCCAGCCCTGCGCCAGCAAGGCGTACCAGTTAAAACTTAAAAAATAACAACGTAGACATTTTAGTATAAGTTGACAATGTAAGCAGGTTCCTAAATCTTCACTAGTTAACTAGTTGGGCTTATTTTGTTCGACGGCTTTAATAAAGTGATTAAACTAAGAAGCTCATCCACCAAATCAGTGGATTTTAGGGTCTACTTGTCAAGCACGTTAATCTACTTGTCAAGCACGTTAATCAAAGACTAGTAAAATGTTCCAGCTCACATGTTCCCCACTTTGCACCCATTGAAAGCTGAAGTTAGACCTCAGACCCGACAAGGACAAACAGCAAAAGACAACGAATGGATGGATAGTTATGTTAAGGCACTGAATGCCAACGATCTCACTAGACTTGCGGTAATTGTCATGTTGCATCGTGTGGTAATTGTCATGCAGCAGGCCTTTGACGCTGTTGGTGAGCTGGCAGATAAAAGTTGCACTAGTTGGCAAACTCAGCTTCTTTTGCCCTTTTGAGCTTGTGCAGCAGAGTACTACAACTAGTTCAACTGGTTAAATGTCTTTGCAAACGGGTTAGTGAAAATGACACCTCGTACCCAGGGTATAGAATATTCATGCGTCCCGCTTGTCAGGCCCAAGGCCTTGCGGCCGCTGCATGTAGACGGATGAAGGCGCCTCGTGTTTCTCTTGAACAGATTGGGGAAGGATTTTCGGACGAACCGCAATCGGCGCAATGGCGTGTCGCCGTTAACATGGCGTCAGCTGGTATTGCTGCTGATCTGCACGCTGACATTCAGGTCATTAAATCTTAATGCAGGGAGACAAAAGGGGCTGCTGGATAATGTAGAGGAGGAGCTGTGCTCCGGCAGAACATCTCACCAGAGAGACTTGGCTCCGCTTCGAATCGTCTTGTTGTGAACTGTGCCAAGCCTGATGAGGAGCAGATGTGCCCAAGAACAGGCATTCTTTCAAACGAGATCAGATATTGCCACGCGACAGAAAGATGAACGGCGGCTCTCTTTCGCTCCCTTACTGATCCCCCAGTTAAAAACAGAATTTTATTAAAATGTACACCAGCTCAGGTTTAAAAGAAAAGTGCTGCCTCTAAAATAAAAGCCGGCATTCAGCCTCTTTCGAAAACAATGTCCCTCAATCGAGAAGAAAACTGCAGTGTGGTCTCTGGGTATGACCTTTTTCTGTGAGGCAACAGTGGTAACAATTGCTAACTCTTTTTGAGGAATTCCTATCGGCAAATGTTCGCACCCAGGTGGGTTGCAGATCCAAGGAGGAAAATCCGTCTCTTCTTCAACATTATAATGCATAGTGTCTCTGCCTGAGAAAACAGAAATGCATCTCTTTGCTAAGATAAAGGCCGAATAAGTGTTTCACATTTTCTTAATATAAAAGAACAACAATGAATTCCACAGATGTCTGTTTTCTCTCTTTAAAAATGCATAACTCACCAAAAGAAAGAAAAGAAAAAAGACGAGTCGTCTTCCCTGATGTAATCGCGTTCAACTCGATGAAGTCGTTGCTGCATTTTTCATCATCACTTCCTGTCATGCAAACATGAGACGCATAATTTAGATCGGCATTGTGCACAATTTTCATTTTCTCCTCATGAACAACATGAAGTGACTCTTGTATCGGTTGGGTAACAAAATTCCAATTTGTGTTCAGAGGAAGGTCACACGTCTAATGTTCCTGCCTGGTCAGCGTCAAGGCACAATATTTGACCGATCATGCTGTGTGATGCAACACTAAGTCAGTCAGTAGAATGTCAGTAAAAAATATATATATTTCAGTAATTTAATTCCAAATATGTGCACTCGGTACACACCAAATTCCACAGCACATCTACATGCTGAGATTGTCAAAGTCAAGCTAGCACAGCTGACCTCACTATTTTTTTATTAAAACTTTTCTCGCCCTGGAAAATGTGATACTCTTGGACCTTATCTGTCTGTCATAGTGTTCACAATTAGTAGCAAAGCACTGCGTCCTCTTTTTTTACATTTAAGATTTAGCGCGTTGCATTGGGAACTCGACAGATAAAAACCAAAGGTAGTCATCGAGCAGATCTTGCGCGTGTGGTGTCATGTTGTCCATATGTTGTGAATGCATCCTTCGTGCATGCAACAGTTTAATGTATTCCTGCTAAAGCAAGGTCCCAGAAGAAATCTTTGGTCCAAACAAACTGATTTATTATTCTAAACAGTGAACGGCTTCACGGCGTCATGAACCCGGTCTTCACAGCGGCTCTTTGTCCTCCAGACTCAAAATGAAGTCAAACTCCTCTACGGATCAAAAAGGGAAAAAAAACAATTAGAACCAGTTTGGGACTGCGACATGAAAACACAGTGATTGGTTCTCACACACCTGGAGTGAGAGGCTGAACGGAGAGCCGGGCCCTGGTGAACAGAGCCACGTCCCTCAGAGGTCCTCCGTTGGCACGGTGCTGGAGGTGGAGTTCCTTCAACTCCCTCAGAGGAACAAAACGCTTCATCATTCTCTGAAACTGAACGTCCACCTGAAGAAACCGGGAACCCAAAAGCTCAGCTCCGAAGGGGGATCTTTGCCAATGACCAAACCGCCGAACGGATCGTGCTCCCGACTCACCATGCTCCACTTGGGGTTGTCCGGCGTGCTGCTCGCATCGTAGTGAACGTCTTTCTCGTCAAACTGAGTGTGGTCCACGTAGGCTTCCTTCACGATCTGATCCAGGAAACAGAGCTGAGCATCAAACCTACAGTACCTCCCAGGAGGCTTCCTACGTCATACCAGCGTGATCATACACCTTAATTGTGGAGGAAAAAAATGATGCATGGGATTCGTATGCTGGTTCCTAACGACTAGCTAGAAAAGAGCTCGCAAGGTAGCTACCTCGCTAGCTACAATATCTAGCAAGTACTAGCAGAGTGTTACGGGTAACCTTGAGTTACCCGTAACTCAAGTGAGTCAAGATGTCAACGTTTTACCTTAAAGAAAAGTCCTGGGAGGAAAATCCTACAAATATGAGATGAAATAGTCCCAACACATCACAATTTAAGGACAACTAACATTTCTTTAGTGGATTTCAGACATTGTAAGGGATTCGACTTCCATAAATAAATGTACATGTGCGCCGACACTCCACTATTGGTGCTTTTCAGGTTTATATTTGTAAAAGACTCTCAAAACCACGCGTAACTTTAGATTCCATTCATAATTGTGCACTACTCTGTGCTGGTCTTAATAAAATACATAAAATTCTGTAATTACAGAAAGGGCAAAAAAAAAAAAAATCACAGAACTGTTCCAGGAGTCTGAATACTTTTGTTTTTATTAATGCTTGACCAGGAGATGACTGACTCACTATCATAATCCCTGCGATCCCCGGATCCTTGCAGTTGCTGTGGTAAAAGAAGGCCTGCTGCCCCACTTTCATCTGCCTCATGAAGTTGCGAGCCTGAAGACACAGATTTCCTCTTTTCCTCATGGAGTTTTTTTGTTGTTTTTTTTTTCAAAATAAAAGTGGAATTAAATCAACAACTCGACACACCTGATAGTTGCGGACGCCGTCCCAGCAGCCGGTCTTATGGGGCAGAGCCTTCAGGTCCTCGATGCCAAACTGGAAAAAAAAAAAAGAAAAAGAAAAGAAAAGGACAGACAGGCGGTTGTGAAACGCTCAGATGAGGACCATTAATTCCTGTCGTTGCTGAAGAAGGCGATCCCGCTTTCTGTACCTTCACGTCGACGCCGTTTTCAAAGCGGCTCTCAGGCTCAGACTTCATGAGCCAGCGGGTGAAAACGGGAGAGACGGAAGGTTCAGGAACCTTCCCGGCTTTTGCATCAGGAGCTGCAGCTTTTCTCTTTCCGCCGGCTGCAGGGGTTTTCTCTTTGCCTTCAATTGCTCATTAGGAAATAAGAAAGCAATAAGAGTATTTAAAAGTCTTTGACAAATATATGTTGACTAATGGGTTTAAGCAACTAAAGCTTTGTCATTTACATATATATATATATATATATATAATATATATATATATATATATATATATATAAAACAAAACATGCATATAACATTTAATAAAAAGTTTTATCCTGCGGGAATTGAAATGCTTACCTGAATTTGCAGACACTTTACTCACTCTGGGCTTTTTCTTTGGGGGCATCCTTCACAGTCTGCAAAGACCCCCTGCAGAATCTTGGGACTCTGTGCTTTTATTCACTGCTTTTATCCCCTGCTTGAGACATTTAGATTTTGATCAAACATATTTTAGCGTCCAGGTAAATATAAAGTGACGGGTATTTATTTGATTACAAAAAAATAAAAATAAAAAAAAAACTTTTTATATTAAACACTGTTTTTTTGTTGTTGTTTTTTTTTACAGTGTGCTCTGCTTAAAATATTAATCTTATAAGTTAAAGCTGTATAAAATTTGCAGACTTATTTAAAAAAATGTTTAGAAGCTGCAAACCAAAACAGCTGACATTTTAGTTGTGGGATTAACAAAAGAAAGAGATGTTTATTTTCCCGTTTTTGAATCATAAGAAATAAAGTGTTTCCGTAATGCGCGTGAAACTTCGCGACCCACGCCGTAAATTGAGAACCGTGTGCTCCTAATGACATGCGTCAGGTTAATGAAAATAAATAAATAAAACCCAGCGTGATGTGTGGATCATGTAGAGCCTAATGTCATACCTTCCTGAGTCACACAGGCCTTCGAATCCCGCGAAAAGCCCACAACGCGTGACGTCAACAAAACGTGTTTTCTGACGCTAGCTATTTGGCTAATGTTGCATTCAGTGTCAAGCAAAAAACGGGTTTTTAAACTTGTTCTTTCTTACGCCTTGCTTGTATTACCTATTATAGTGAGCTAAATACTACACTTTGTGTGACTCAATGACACATATTTGAATGCCGTCTGTGTTTTGTGCAGTGTTTGCGCAAAGTTTGGTGATTTTCTATGAATAAGATTCGGTTGTATGTTTTTTATTTTCCCTTTTGCCACTTGGCAAAACTGGCCAGTATACCTTATTCCTTTTACTATTGTCGAAATTAGGCACACTATCGTCAGCCATCAAATCACTACTGACAGCTAAAAAAAATTAGAATAACTACATTCCACTCGGAAAGTTGATTTGGAGAGCCAACTTTCCGAGGTACATCAAATGCAACATAATCATGTCGTCTGTGTTTAACCGCTCTGGGACAAAATTTGTTTGCTTTTATTTCCGACTTTTTATTTATTTATTATTATTAATAATAATAATTATTATTATTTACAATGCGTATTCGTCAGTTAAAGTACAGGAAACAGTAGTCGGACTTAAGAAAAACTACATTACCCAGCAGCCCAACCATAGAGATGCATGCGCTCGAAATGTTACTCGGGGAAGCAGCTGGAGTCGAAAAGGAGGAGTAGTTTCCTCCATTCAAATCAGCGAGAGCATGACACGAAAGGAAGCTGAACGTGATTAGAAATCAAACAAGAAAGTTTGCTCGAGAAATGTTTCATGTCCAAGTTCTAGAACAAAGCTTGGACATTCATTTAAAAGGAAAACTCCTCCCCGTCATCCGGTAACCTCAGCTGATTCCCCGGCTGACTGCCAAGGAGCGCACCCAGTGTTGTAACCGTTTAGATAAACATGGCCGCCCTCGGACCTCTGTCAAGAATAACCCGGCTTGGATGCAACTTCTGTCGGAACCACCGCTTGATGCTGAACAGAAACTCTCAGAAACGAGGAATAGCTTCGTGTATTGACCGTAAGTTTACAAATAGTGCAAAGCTGTGACAGTTTACTCATACTGTGGCTCTTGGGTAATAAAATCTGTAACACTAGTATGTTAGCTAACAAGCTAACTGCACTCCACTTCTTCCCAACATTTAAGCCAATATTTAGTAACCAGTTTAATAAAAGAGAATACATTTCGCACGCTCATCACTCAGCCCGCTGTCATTGGTCAGTTTAGTCTCTAAGGCCTCCAGTGGCGAAGCAGAAGAGGCAACACGCCCCTGTTTAAAGCCGCTCCCCCTCTTGAGGACCAACAAATTTAAAACATCACTTGTCTAATTTGGCCTATGGAGTTCAACAAACTCACGTGAAGTCAGGTCTTATTTACAAAGCTATAGAAAACCACAACGGTGCTGATGAAAAGTTTTAATATACGTCTTAAAATACGTAAACCGAACTAGCATTGCATTGTAAAATAACTGAACAGCTGACATTGTTTCTGCGCCCCGTGTCTCTCCGTGGACAGCTTCATATGGACTCACAGACGAGCAGAAGGAGTTTCAGAAAGTGGCCTTTGACTTTGCAGCCAATGAAATGGCTCCACACATGGCGGAGTGGGACCAAAAGGTGCGTAGCAGTGTTTTCCTCGGTGTTCAGGTGCTTCACCACCTGGAAAGCTGCCATGCTCTGTCTGGTGAAATCTGTTATGTGTGAACCAAATTACTTAAATGAGTTCAAGCCCATTTAAGATATAATAAAGGCTATATTTAAATTAGGTTAGTAGTAAATATTGTTAGTACATGTGGTGTGTTGCATAATCATTCTACTATGACAAAAGAGCAGTTCAAATTTACTGCCAATTAAAACCATTTCAACTGTTGCATAGACAATTGTTTTATATATATATATATATATATATATATATATATATATATATATATATATATATATATATATATATAAGCAAGTAAATTGGTAATAAGTTGCATTCCTGAATCTGTTTTCAGCTTGATAAAATATCACAGCATCTGCCTGCTGAAAGTGTTTCTGTTCTGTAAACTGCTCTCCCCATGCCCCTCCCTCCCCCGACCCGCAGGAAGTCTTCCCAGTGGAAACGATGCGGAAAGCGGCCCAGTTAGGGTTCGGAGGCATCTACACTCGGCCGGAGGTCGGGGGGTCAGGCCTGTCTCGTCTGGACACGTCCATCATTTTTGAGGCCCTGTCCACTGGATGTGTTAGCACCACAGCTTACATTAGCATCCACAAGTATGGCTGTGTCAAATATGTGACATTATTGTTTTGTAACTAGTTAAATGCTCTATAGATTTAGATTTATTTATGCAAAAAAAAGAAAAAAGTAAAATTCAGTCGTTTAAACTTGTATGGATGAACTTGCTTATCTTGCAGCATGTGTGCCTGGATGATTGACACCTTTGGGAATGACGAGCAGAGGGAGAGGTTCTGTCCTGACCTCTGCTCCATGGAAAAGTTTGCATCCTACTGTCTGACTGAACCAGGTCAGCCTCCACCCACCACGTCCAGAATGACAAAGATATTAGAGGAATTGTGTGGATGAAGTTTGTGAACGAACCCTGAATCGTTGAGTTGCACGTTCAGGATCTTGGAGAATAAAACTGAGACGTTTTATTTCAGGCAGTGGCAGTGACGCCGCTTCACTCCTCACATCCGCTCAGCGGAAAGGGGACCATTATGTCTTAAATGGCTCCAAGGTGAGAAACGTTTTCAGCAATTTGTCACATCACACCCACAGACTTAAATGTATTTTATTAGGATTTTATGTAATAGGCCATCCCAAAAGAGTAATGAGTAACTTAGATGTTTAAGGAAAATGATAAATAGGATAAACTATGATCCTTTATTGGTTGCATGGGGTTTTTGTTTCCTTTTTATTTATTGTTTTTGGTTGTTGTTGTGTTTTATTTTGGGTATTATAATATATCTTTCGGTTCTATGTACAAAATTAAAGTTTATTGGTCTTCCAGAGGGCAAACTTGCATTATTATGCCATTGTTAACAAATTGGGTGAAAACAGTGTCGAAACAACAATATTATAGTTTATCGCAATAATTCCTGGGACAATTTATAGTCCAGCAAATTTACTACGACAGGCCGACATATTTGCCTCGTGTCACCTTTAAACTTTGTGATTATTTGCTCCTTTGTACTCGTCTGTCACATCAACTAATTCTGCTAGGATTTTAAGTTGTGGTTGTAACGTGGTAAAATATCAGCGTGAAAGTAAAAGCTCAGATCAAAGCAGCCTTGCAAAGTGATTTTTGTTGTTTGTAAGGCTTTGGTGCGACTGAAACTTTGGTGCGACTGAAACTTGTCTCTCTGTCTCTCTCTCTCTCAGGCGTTTATCAGTGGGGGAGGAGACACCGACGTGTATGTTGTGATGTGCAGAACGGGAGGCAAGGGGCCGAAAGGAATCTCATGTTTGGTGGTGGAAAAAGGAACACCAGGCCTCAGTTTCGGCAAGAAGGAGAAGAAGGTACAGAGGCTGTTGGTCTTGATGTTGCAGTGCCCCAGTCAGCCGCTAGATGGCAGGTTTGATCCAGCCTGTCTCTCCAGGTAGGCTGGAACTCTCAGCCAACCAGGGCCGTGATATTCGAGGACTGTGTCATCCCTGCGACCAACCGGCTGGGCGAGGAAGGACAAGGCTTCAACATCGCAATGAAGGGCCTGAATGGAGGCAGGATTAATATCGGTGAGGAGGAAGTCACACCAGTTTAGGATATCCAAATGTTCAGCTCAAAAAAGAAAAAGAAAGAGGAAAAAGTGGAATACTGTGTGAAATTCCACACAACGATCAGAACGTAGAGTCAGAATTTGTCAGTGTGCATATATCTGCTGAAACAGAAAAAATTAAAATAAATGCAACTATTTTGTTCAATTATTTTTAGTGCATTTAAAGGAAAAACCCTCATCACGTTTAATTCAGTTTAGTCATGTAGCTTCAATTCACAACAGCTGTCATTTGAAATGTGCTCATGTGACAGGCCTGCACATTAAGAGCTTTTGGGGTTTTTTTCTTTTAATTTAAAAACAAAGCAACATTGTGACATTCTGAATGTATCTGCAGCTCTGATGCTGGTATAGATAAAGTGTCTCCTCGTCAGCTCAGAAGAAGGATAATGCAGGCAGGTTTTTGCATCAATAATGTGCATATTGTAGAGAAGTCCTGAGGTGTCGAAAGCATGAGTAATGGCTTGTTTCCTCCAGATTAGCATGTACTTGATTTTGTAGATGTGAAAAAAAGGAAGAAAATTCAGGATTAGCGGAAAAAAATCTTTAGTCAGTGAAGCTGTTTTTTTATTTTGTTGATTTATTTTTACTTTGTGTTCTCCCTCTTCAGCTTCCTGTTCTCTGGGAGCAGCGCACGCCTCCGTGCTGCTTGCGAGGGATCACCTGCTGGTGCGGAAGCAGTTTGGCGAAACGCTCGCCAACAACCAAGTAAGCAGCTTCGGTTTTCGGAGGAGCCCCGAAAATAACAGTAAAATGCAACTTTTGTTGTTTTTTTTTTTATTTTTTTTTTTACGTGTCTGTTTCTACGCCGCTCGTCTAGTTTCTGCAGTTCAAACTGGCAGAAATGGCCACCAAGCTGGTGGCGTCTCGCCTGCTGGTGCGCGAGGCCGCCACGGCGCTACAGGAGAACCGAGCCGACGCCGTTTCGCTCTGCTCCATGGCCAAGCTTTTCGTCACGGACGAGTGCTTCGACGTGAGTCGGACTGAAATAATTCCCACAGTATGGTGCTGCCACCACCATGTTTTAATGTTGGAATGCTGTCTTTGGGGTGATTTTCTCTTTATTCACAGAGCAGCTGGTTTTATATCGAGATCAAATTGCACAAAGACCGACTGTTTGCTGATTTTATTTCCAGGTATCCAAGATAAAGGGTTCCATGGTGGGATTTTCATTAGAAAAATAATAAATGCCATGATGATCAATTTTGCTGGGTGATAAATTGTTCCTGTAATTGTGACAAAATAAATAATAATAATATTGTCGTTTTGAGACCATTTTCAGGTAAAAACATCGATATTGGCATAATAATGCAAGTTTTCTCACTAAACTTTAACGTAACACTTTATTTTGGATATTTAAACAAAAGTAAAACAAGGCAACCAAAAACGACAAATAAAAACCACGCGCAATGGAAAGAATAAATCAAATGAATTCTTATGTCTCTCTGAACAATATTTTCCTTCCAAAAATATTTATTATTACAATGGAAATCAATGAGCTCATTTGAATTTATAATCAGTTTGATTAATTGCTTATAGTGACATGTTTAATCATCTACAAGTTTTGTGCTTATCTCCTAAAATCTCAGTTTAAAAAAAAAATGATGGTAAAATAACTAAATGCTGACAGAAACTTTTGAGTGGAAACTCACTAGAAAATGGTAATGCTGGGTTTTTTGCTAACCTACTTTTTTTCAAACCTTTCTACATCTGGGTCAGTAGGACCTTTTTTTTTTTTTAAAGGAAAAAAAAAAGCCCCACGCAACAAACACAAACTCCACTTATTTGAGTTAAACTGCTTTTGTGGGACAACAGACAAAAAGCACATTTTAATATCAGAAGTGGATTCTGAATCCCCTCCTGGTGTCGGTAAACCTCTTACTCCAAAACTCTCCCATCAACGGATGAAATGTCACCGATTGGTCATCATTCACCACCGGGATTGTCCCACCGGTTTAGTTTGGAAACGCATCCAAAAAAAGTTTCCTCCACGCTGTTCTCACGTCTTCTTACTCCGCAGGTCTGCAACCAGGCTCTCCAGATGCACGGTGGCTACGGTTACCTAAAAGATTACGCAGTGCAGCAGTTTGTGCGCGACATCCGAGTCCATCAGATTCTCGAGGGTGGGTTCCTGTTCTCCCTTCGGCTCCAGCAGATCTCCGCTTGATGTGTGGGGCTAACATCTTTCATTGTCTCCCGCAGGAACCAACGAGGTGATGAGGATGATCATTTCTCGAAACCTACTCACAGAATCGTGATAAATCTGTTCCCCCTCCAGACGAACGGCGGACCGCGTAGTTTTGATTTATTGCGGCAGCGTGGCCGGTCCTGTTCACACTTCTTCCAGTTTTGACAGAAATTCTCAGAGAGGTTGGTGTAAATGAGATGTTATTTTTGAGGTAAAGCATGAGATTATTTGCTGAGTTAGGAGCTGTGACAGGGCTCTTAGAGTAGGAATCAAGATTATCCTCTAGTGCAAAGTGCAGCACCTTATCAGGAACTGCACAGGTTTAAAAGTCTACAATCATAGCTCATTAAAACTGAAATATTGGCCACATAAATGTTTTTCTCATTTATCTGCCCAAGTTAAAATAAAAGAACCTAGTCTCCTGCTCAGATTTTGTAAAGTAACAGACAGATATAATGATAGTTTATGGTCAAGCTTTCACTCCCAGAACACTCCTCTTACACTGCAAAAACACAAAGTAGTTTTGTCTTGCAAATATCTTTGAACAATTTAAAATAATCAAAACTAACTTACAAGTAACTTTTCTTCAAGGTTTAAGAGCTTCTCCTAAATCAACAATCCCTTAAAATGGATAAGAACAAGTGGGAGATTATTTAATTTACAACAAGATAGAAGTAGAAAAATCCACCAGTACTGGAACTGGTCCTTTTTTCAAAATTAAAGTTAACAAATTCTTCACTTGAAACAAATTGCAATAAGAAAGACGTTGCAGAGACATTATTTGCCCTTAAAAACTAAACAAAAGTACTGACTAAGACTTTAATTTTGCAGCATAAGGGATTTATATTTTTTTCTGTACTCAAGGGCTAAAGTTACTGTAATATCTCCATTACATACAAACAGCCCATCTTTACCTCTTGGAACACTCAATAGAAACATGTTTAAGAGAAACACGTTAAATTATTATTTTCTAGGTGTTGTACGTTTTCATCTTTTTGGATCAGATGTACATACACTTTACAAAAACGTCCACTTCTGTCTCATCACTTCATCGAAGACTCCATTTTCCAAAAAGTCTTGGGATCCACCAAATCCCAAACATGCTGGACACTCTTCTGTTTCGTCCTCCATTTGCGGACGAGACGGCTCACTACTTGTGTTGTAACTCTTTAAAGACTGATGGGTGATTTCCTTTGTGATAGAACTTCTTCAGATTGGAGAATGCTATTTGGCATTCTTTTGTGGCCGACTTCATGTCGTCAGAGAGTTTCTGGCAGTTCTCATGCCCGAGTGTTGAAAATGAAATTGAACTCAGATTTCCAAAACGCAGCGGACCACTGTTGATTTGACACAAGGCAGAAACGACTTAATCACGTGGTTGGTTTGGAGGGGTTTGTCTCTCATTACACAATTGCAAGATGTCTCTGATATTAAAAGGAGTATACAAAACGTTTGACAAATCCGCCAAAACAAAAGGACTTTAGAAGTTGGTAAATATTTCCTCACATGCTGAAAATCATGACTTGATGCTTATTTTATTTTTTTTATAATGTGAGGTTTGGGCTGAAAAAAACAAACTACAAAGATCCCAAATAGCAGATAGAAGTTTATGGTTAATTATACTGAGGGATGAAGGTTTGAAGACATTACTGTCACAGTTTATAAGCTTAGAATGCAAAGTTACATTCACTAGTTACTGAAAAAAATGTAAATTTGATGCTTCTGGAAATGACTTTATAAAATCAGATGTCTTTAAATTGTTGGTTTGTAAAGAGTCAAACAGTGGTGTCAATAACACATTTTTGTTCCAAGTGGCCTTCCATGTCCCGTCTGTCATTGTAAGAGCATTTTGAGTGTGTTTTTATCCAGATTTGTAGTCTGTGTTCAGCTGAAAGGTTGGGTTTGCACTCCATAATAAAATGTCTAATCGTCCTCAAAACAAATATATTGTGCCTGATTCACACCTTGATCTTTTTTTTTTCTTTTTTTTTTTGTAATGTTCAAGATATAAAACTCACATTAGTGGTCAAACAATCCAGAATATTTTATTTAAAAACGAAAAAAATAAACGTGAGAAATGACAACCGTATTCAAAATAACATGTGAAACCTTTTAAAGCTGCAGTAGGTAACTTTCATTAAGAAACTATGTTTGTACATATTCGTTAAAATAGTCACTGTGTCATGACAGAATGGCCATAACTCAGCATTAACTATTTCTTTTTGGGGGTTTTTACAGATAAATGGTCATATATAATACTGTCATGACAAGGTGACAGTTTTAACAAATATATAAAAATAAAACAAAACATACCTTTTAAAAAATAAAAGTTACATATTGCAGCTTTCACAGCATCAGCAACATTATTTCCAGCATTTGCAAGAAAACCAGAACCGGCTGAACCCGCCAAGCTGTTTTCTTTGTTAAAACCCGAACGGCCTAAACGTCTGCGGTGGCTGATGAAAAATCAAGCACCGTAATTATAAACCGTCGACATTACACTCCACACTTAGTTTACATTCAAGCTACGGCAACAGGCAAAGTATTCTTTAAAAGTGAACGCTCAGTACCACACCATGGAATCACTCTCATATTTCTGCAACAGATTCACACATTTTAATCAAACACAACGTGAGCAAGTCGAGGAAAGCAAAATACTTGCACCTGAACTCTTGAGTTTTTCTTGCTCTTTTTTGTTTTGCTCAGAACTAATGCCTGGTAAACTGAAGACTAATCCCTACAAAGGCAGGGAGAAAGGGACATACAAATGTCCATCAGAAGGTTATTATACAAAGCTTAGAAATATAGTCAAAACATTTTAGTTTCCCATTTGCTGCAAAACTCCTTAGGATACATTTCAGTTTTTATATTGAGACAAAATGCTAACCAGACTATTTGAACGGTTGGATTCTGTTACGAGGCGTGTAAAAATAAATATATATTTCTCTGTATTGAGCATGAACGCCGCATCCGAACAAATGCTGCAGAGATGAGGAACGCTGCACTGAGTTTGATTCCTCCAACAACCTGAAGGTAAAGTTTTTGCAAATGAAGTCCCCCGTCGGACACTTTCTCCTCAGACGACGTGAGAAAATGTTCTGCACCCCGAGGCGTCCTCTCCATCTGTCCTCTGCTGGCTACACCAGGGAGCCCGCTTGGCTCTGGGCGGGCACCATGACGGCGACGGCCCCCATGCGCGTCAGAGTGGAGGAGCTGATGTGCGGCGACGCGGCCACCGGGCCAGGAACCTGAGGCTGAGGCCCCTCAGTTCGTTTTAGCGGGGTGCCAACCATGGGGCCCCTGGCGATCTGCGGGGGGCCTCCGTTCGCGCTGGGTGGCTTCTTGTGTTTGCGCACAGGGGTCCCGCCTCCCATGTTGTACCCGGGGAGCCCCTGCAGGCTGCAGGCCGTCCCGGGTCGCAGCTGGTAGGCGTTGATCACCGAGCCCGTGTCCGAAATGGGGGAGTACGGGTACGGGAATTTGGGCTGGTGGAGGTCCTGCGAGCGGGGGCTGGTGGCGAGGGAGGACAGGGTGCCGTTTTTCGACACGATGTCCGAACCGGTGTTGCTCTTGGCCCACGACACTCGCTTTGGCGCCTGAGCGTCCTCCCTGTGTTAGAGAAAGACAGGAAAACATTCAAGAGGCAGAGGTTGTTGTTTTGTGTTTTTTATGCGTTCCTGTAGTTTTCAGCGGGTTCCGAGCCAGCAAGTCTCGTACCAACCTGCTCTCACACACAGAGAGGGACCTGATTTTTTTTTTCTTCCACAGATTATCTGTCTGATAGCGTACTGTCAGGACTAACCCTAACCCAACTATACAGTCTTTAAAAATGCAAAAATTTAAAAAAGCCTGGCGGGCTGTCAGGCTGATAACACACCGAGGAAAACCCTGTTATTACTGCTTTGCTGCCTTGTTGTATGAAAATGAACAAAATGCATCCAACACACCATCTCCCTTTAGGCTATACCTTCAGTTTATGATTCTCTTTAACAAATCTGTGACAATTTCGATTCCCTAGTGTAGATAATAAAGCGATCATAGTCAAACCCTCACTTGATCTCGTTCGCCATCTCCTCCTCCGTGTCCTGCCTCCTCTTCAGTATGAATATGAGGATGAGCACCATGGCAACCAGCCCCACCACGGACCCCAGAGTCGCTGCAGCGATCATTCCCCCGTTGGAAGCTGCGGTGGGGAAGTAAAAAAAAAAAAAAAACAAAAAAACCACAAGCAACATTTAGATTCAGTGTGTGATGGAGGAGCAGCAGATTCCCTGAGAGGGGAGGCAGAGCGGGCGGCACGTACAGGTGATGACCTCCAGGTTAATGGAGCAGCTGTCGGAGCCGGCCGTGTTGCTGGCTCGGCAGATGTACTTCCCCGACATGCTTTTGGTGAGGTTGCTCAGCCTGAGGGTGCCGTGTCTCTCATCTGCAACACAACCGCATGGTTAGAGACAGACACACATTCAGTGAACGTCAAGAGAAATCGGGGGACTTTGGAGGAGAGCAGTGAGCGACTAGAGGGCACAACTGCACAAGCTAGTTTGTGGCTGTAGCAAAACACAGTCAGCTTTTTGTAAACAGTGTTCCCTTTCAGTACAAGCACAGATCCTCTGTAAATCTAAAGATGTCTTTGATGAGCCGGTGTTATCTATTTTTCAGACATACAATATAGTGCCATTTTATATCACAATCAAGTAACTATGTTACCTTTTGCTGTTTTGGCTCTATATATGAAACATACCTTAAAAGAAATATGACTGTGCAGTTTAACACTTTGAGATTGGATCTCTGTCTCTTTAAGAAGCTCCTGCTATTTCTGACGCTTCCTTCAGCGCGACATCACGATGTTTGTCATTATATAACCATTCTTAGGGTCGTTGGATCGAGAAGCAGTTTGAATTTTATGCCCAGAAGATACGTGGTTCCACCAGGCGTTTGCCAATTGCAGCTGCCACTAGTCTGGAGGAACCAGGGTCAGGACTTAATTTGTGAGCACAATGGTTTCCACGGGAGATTCAAGGATTCTTCAAACATGCATGAAAGAATCAAAGCAGCACCCCAGGTGTGTTTTTGGTGAGGGAATAACAGCGTAACATGATATAAAGCTCAAAGAAGTCAATTTCACATGACAATTCTTTTTTTTCAGGAACATTTTAAAAACAAAGTCAACTTTGTGGGAGCTGCAGAGGTGGACAGTCCCACGGCAACACAAAGGAAAATTTCAGGATTCTTTAACAAAAATCTTAAAAGTGCGGTATGCATTTGCATTCACCCTCTCTTCCTGTCACCCTCCTACGCAAAATTGAGTCCAAACATCGAGCGCCAAATCTGCACGTCTTCTAAAACATTTTGCTGAGCATTGCAAATTGTTTTCCCTGTTGCTCATTAGAGACTTACACTTTGCATATTGTTCATAAATATTTAATCAGTAAAAAGGACTCCAACTGTCCAATCCGATGCTCACAGTGGCTGTGTGTGTTTAGTGACTGATGAGAGTTGTGTTATGATGAAGAAAAGGTGACTGCAAAATTTGGGTAAATCATGCTCAATATTCTCATTGGAATATTACAAATGATCTTTTTTTCCTGACGTTGAGCAGCCCAGCCAATCACAGTAGCTGTCATTATTAAAGGATTCGTCCCGTTATTTTTTTTTTTGTTTTTTTTTTCCTGCTGCCCTTGCTTGGTCAACACCATGTTTCCATTTACATTATATCGGCTGCAACTCCAGCCGTTTTGATAATTTCTCACACAGAAGTCACGACATATCGCTGAGTATGTTTGCATCTGTTACACAATCTGTTCCTCTTTGCACATCTGGTTTTAAAATCGTAAGCTACGAACACGGGCTGCAGAAAAAGAAAAAAAAAAAAAAACAAGCCTCACGAGGGACTTTCCTCTTCAAATCCCCTGAAATCCAATCTTGCACGTCATACTGCAGCATGTCTTACATCCAATGTGTTTTTTTTATTGTATTTTGGAGCAATATGAAAGCGATGACACGTGTTATTGAGTGAAAAATCGCCTCGAGATTTTTCAGTGTCTTGTTCACGGAGCAAACGGATAATCTTTTCACTGTTTCCTGCCTCTCTTGTCAAGGACATGACAAAATCCAAGCGAATCCCAAACAGAAACAGCTGTGCATGCGTCCCCTGCATCAGCCTCGGTTGGATTATCGCATGCCTCCATCTTGAAAATCAGCTGCAAAGAAATGAACCCGATGCTGCCAGATTAGCAATACGTCAGCTGACTCAGAGCCTGGAGCGAGTTCAAGGCGATCGGATCCCCTCGTGCGAACTGGGTGGGAGGGGATCTGCTTCACATTGAGACCAGAATCCCCACAATCCCTGCATTTCACGACGACGGCCAATATTACACTTACTGTGTAATATACCTGGAAACAACTGGAGCACACCAGCGGGGTTTATCCAGCACAACATGAAAATATCAGATGGATTTGCATGTTTGCTAATTTGTGGCTTAATCCTTTCCAGTGTTTGGGGATTGTGGGATTTTCCAAGCCCGCAATTTATGGGAGAAACATAATTTTGGTGGGTTATATCAGGTGACAAAATCAAGATATCTTTGGAGTAGAGAAGAAGGTTTTTTTAAACAGTGGTCAGCAGTTCAGGTCCGGCTGGAGCAAATCAGTCCCACCTCCAGGCTGAACTGTTTGTATCCGGCTCTTCTCCAGAGATGCTGCATTTCTTTTTTATTTTCTCTTTCTTCCTCGGTGAACAGTGGCTTTCTTCTGCACAATCGGACAAAATCTCCACAATTTAGGGATTTTGGAGACTTCTTTTGTCGTCTTGAGGTCTGCTATTGGGGCCGAAGTTACTTGAAGAACCAGAACTGGGCCTGTTGTTAAGAATGGCGTTTTTCAAACCTGGGCCTTGATTAATCGATTTATTTCACACCTGATATTGCTCCGTGTCAAACAAAAC